CTCCTAACTCTGCAGGATGTACCCTTGGAGGTGACTTAATAGAGAAACTGGCTCTGCAGGTGCCTTGGACCCGGCTCCCCTCACTGTGTACAGTAGCTGAAAAGCTTTTACAAATTATCTGAAAGAAGACCTTTGAGACCTTTGGAAACAAATGTGGAGTAAACATAAAGATTATGTTTCTAATATTCATACGAAAAAAAGAGTGACATCTTTCTCAGTTGCTGTACCGTACCAGCATTTGCTATTGTTCACGGAACCCATAGCCTCAACAAATAGTGTATTTACGTCTGTCCTGTTTCCTCTAGGAGTCCTATATATGTCCTTTAAAAAAAAAATCGACTTCGAGCCAAACACGTAACTTAGGTAATGAGTACAGGAAGCTCTCAAAGATTTAGGAGGAAACCTCAAAATCGGGTAGCATCAACATTTAGCTGGACTGTCCATCTGCTGCCCTCTGTTGGCTGCTAAGTGGAACCACAGCAGATTAGGGAGAGTCTCTGCTCTGGATTCTACAGTACAGTGTCAAGGGAGGATTAAGTCAGGTGGGGATTGGTAGAAAGTCTAATGAAAGACCTCAGGAGGCATGAGTATAAATTTTGGGGCTGTTCTGAAGCCTAAAGCTTGGAAGCTGTCACTGGGCATCACCAGCTTGCCCGGGGACCCACCATTACTTTCTTTGAATTTTTAAAAGCTCAAGACTTTGGGGCATGGCAAGTTTCCAGAAGTCCTTCATGGAACAAGGAAGATTTGGGCCAAGTTGAGTTATATGCTCTGAAGTGAGTTTAAGAGATTCCACAAAATTTATAAATTGCCCTGTCTCAGCAGGATGTGGGGGCATATGCCTGTAATCCCAGTGGCTCAGGGGGCTGAGGCAGGAGAATCTCAAGTTCAAAGCCAGCGATTTAGCAAGACCTCTTCCTTAAATATACAGTATTGGAATACAACTTCTGGGGATGTGGCTTAGCAGTTAAGTGCCTCTGTGTTCAATTCCTGGTACAAAAAAAAAAAAAAAAAGTGTCCTGTCTCATTAGGATTCTCTGAAGTAACTCCAATCCTGGCTGGGGATTTAAGGCATGAACTAGATTTGTCCAGACAGGCTGAGGTCTTGGTTATGTATCAGCAGGCTCAGAACCCTCCTGGGGCATGCCGAATCATCTAGATCCCTCAGTCCTCTGACATTGCTTTGCATTTGACTGAGTGCTCCCCAGCCTTCTCTAGATAGTGTTTCTGTCTTCATTCGTAACTTGCACAATCCACACATTTGACATTTTATACTCAGTTATAAACAGCTCCTCTGTTACAGGGAGTTATTTTCTTTCAATTATTTTGGAAGGTAGGCACCTTTTAACCTCTAGGGGAGAGTGGATTCTTCTCTGCATTTTATTATGCTGTGAGAGGGCCTGTGTGTGCACCTCTCATTCCATGGTATGTAATGAAAATACATTGAATCCTAGGTCAGAATTTTCTTCCAAAGATCACTCCCAAACATCTTATGATTTTATAGACATAGGTAAATAGATACATATACATAGCCAGATTAGTATACATATATAAAATATAGTTATTAAATATATGTGTATATGTGTGAAAGATGTATTGCTGATATTGTGTACGTGCAAAGTTTGATCACTACATGTGTGCATGACCTGTAACTAGAAAATTTAAAGAAAACTATATTACAAAAATATCAATGTCCATTTTGCCTGAGTCAAACAAAAATGTTTTTGCAACAAAATAATCATTATGGTCTTGGACAAAATACTATATTTTAATTTTAGAGGTATTATTCAAGTTCCATAAAATATCGTATTTCCTTTGTAATCTAGAATTTGCATTTACCAAACAGCATGACATTTTATGATTGGCATTCTGTTTCACTCTCACATTTCATTCCAAGCATCACATAAAATGACAAAATGGAAGTATGGCCAGTTCTGTTTCTTCATCTTTTCTATTACTGTGCTATTATCATGTATTTTAAATCTGCTTTGCAAATCAGTCACACGTGGAGCCAGAGGGTTGGGAGGCAGGAAATGGTTCCAAAGGAATTTGAGGGATTCCAAACATTATCAACTTCTTCTCAAAACAGCTGTGTGTGGATGAGTCCCTGTAAGTCACAAGGACTGAAGAGTCTCCAAATTACCTTCCATATGTGGTACGATGATTACAAAAGGATGAGTGTGCTAATTTGAAGCTTACATAAATGGCGGTCTTCCATATCCTTTCAAATCTTTGGATTCAACCAACTATGGATCAAAAATATTAGGAAAAAAAAATCATACTGAACATGTACAAACTTTTCCCTGTAATTATTCCTTAAATAACCAAATGTAACAACACAGTATTTACACATAATTAGGCATTATCAGTAACTAGAGATGATTTAAATTCTATGGAAGGATGGGCATAGTATTTTATGGGAATGCATCATTTTATACAAGGGACTTGAGCATCTTTGGATTTTGGTACCCTCAAGGGGAGAGGGGTCCTCAGACACTGAGGGATGATTGTATATATTAATAAAACTCTTTAATTGTTAGAGTTTTATTGTTTAATTGTTTTAATTGTTTAATTGTTACAAAACAATTTTCCAGGAGGTACACTTTGTGTAGAATTTAAAGTACATGCTAATTAAAAAAGCAGCGTGACTTTTAGTTGGTTTTATGAATGTCTTTGTCCCTATCAATGGTGCATCCTTTTATGGCCTGCCCTTGGCTGCCACTCCCACCCCCCATCCATTTGTGACAGAAGGGGAATCTGGAGATCTAGACCTGAGTGTAGCTGTATGATCTGGAGAAATTGACCAAGACTGTTGTGGCTCACTGCATTGGTCAGTAAAATGAGGTTTAGAGTTCTCTGCTTGCTTTGCTTAGCTATTATGAAGATTCCATAGACTGGAACTTGAAACAGGCTATTCAAAGGCTAATTTGGACTAGACATTGGCCACTGACAGCCCTGCGGGCAGGCTGGGCTCTGGCTTCCCTGTGCACCCGGGTCCTTCTTCCTCTGCCCTTGTCTCCTGTCCCTTGCTTGCTTTCTGAAGAGTGTGGGGTTCCCCTAGCTTCTACCTTTGACCTTTCCTTTCTCTTCCCACCCCAGTCCTGTCTTTCTTCCTCCTCCCTTTCCTTGCTCAACTTACCCACATTTTACTTCCACCTTTTCCTAATTAGCCCAGCACCCGTTACCGAATTCACCCCTTTCCCTGCCAGTGTTTACAACAACCTACTGTCTTCTGTCGGTTCCAAAGAACAGTTTTAAACTGAGTCTTTTCTCCTTTTCCTCCCTCTACGTAGTAACAGCCTCTTCTGGATTTCTCAGTTTTGTAAACTGGAACCCCATCTTTCAATAACCCAAACCCGAAACCTCAGAGTCCTTTTGACTCTCGCTTATCCCTTACATCCAAATTGCGGTGAGCCAGGGGTGGCCAGGGTGGGGCGTGGAGGGTCTTCAGGTGGACTTAGTGGGTACACCCCAGACCGTCCTGTGGATTAGTTGTTTAACCTCTGTGCATCCTGGATTCCTTAAGAGAGTTTTGGCTCATATCCCTCCCCCCACCCATCTCCTGCCTGAAAAACAAAGTCACAGAGCTAATCATTTCTTCTTGTTATAATGTGCTTTCCATTTAAGGGGCATTAAATTTCTTTTTACATGATTTTTTAAAAAAATCGTGGTAAAATACATGTAACAGTTTGCAATCAACCATTTTAAGTGCACAGTTCAGAGATATTAACTATATTTATGTTATCATGCAACCACCACCACCACCATCCATCTCCAGAATTCTTTTCATCTTACGAAACTTTGTACGCAGTAAATGACTCTACTTTGTTTGAATTTGGTTACTCTAGGTACCTCATATGAATGGAATAGTACAATATAGTTCTTTTGTGACTGGGTTCTTTCATTAGCACAATGTGCCCACAGTTCATCCACATTATAGCATGTGTCAGAATTTCCTTCCTTTTGAAGGCCGAGTAATAGTTCATCAAATGTACAAACTACATTTTGTTTATCTATTCAGCCGTCCATTCATCCATCCGTCAGTAGACACCTGGGCGGTTTTGATTTCTGGCTGTTGTGATGATGTGGCCCTGCTGGTGAATACCTAAATCCCATGGCAACACCCTGCGGTCAATTCAGAAATGGAATTCCTGGCTCTCATGGTACTTTTCTTTTAACTTTCGCAGGCACTGCCATACTAGTTTTCCCTAGTAGCTGCACCACATTTGACATTCCGACCAGCCCTTTTATTTTAAACATGAGAGACTGACTAGATGGCAGTCGATGTTTCTTTACACATGTTCTGGAGATCAGCTCCTCAGAATCCGGATGATTAAGTGAATGGAAGCTTCCAACCCACCAGACCTTGGACTGGGGTTTTGGTGTGGACTTTCTTCTCTGCCCTGCTAGGATGGAGCCCAGGGCCTCACGGCAGGCTGGGCAGGCAGCTCCCCCGCTGAGCACCCCCCCCCCCAGCCTTGGGCTTTTAGACTCCCTCCTGGTACCACCTGGGCCCCAGGCCAGCTTCCTCCAGGTGCAGCTGTGGAGAGAAACCCGAGGGTGGAGGGCCTTCCTAGTCCCCCAAAGCACACACCCGTGGAGATATGCCTCGTGGATTCAAATGACAGCACACACCAGCGGATGATAAGTCCTCCATATCATTTTTGGGCAAGTTTTCAGTCTTTTCAGTTACCGTCCACTGGAATCCAAATGGAGGTCTGGAAAGACCACATTTTTAGCCGAGGAAGTGCTCTTGATCAAAACCCAGATTTTTACTGGTGATACTCAGCCGAAATGCCCTATTATCAGCTTCCTACAGATCTCCAGGAGCCATTCTCAGGCACTAGGGAAGCAATCTTCACAGGGCCACTTCCCCGCCGCAGCGCCCCGCTGGGCTCTGAGTCATGCCTTTTGTCTTGTGCCTGGAATTCGGGGATGTTTATGAAAAGTTGTTGTAAATACGAGTCATAATTCCTCTCTTCACATATTCTTTATTTCAGAAAAAAATGGGTATCACATCACGTACAAACGTCATATCACTTCCAGTCCCATTGTCCCCTGGAAATATTCTCCCGACGGTCTCATTAGAGATTGTGAAGAGCTGGGGACAACAGTGTGTCACAGATACCCTCCAGAGAACACAGTCCTCGGCTTGCCACCAGGAGTGTTGAAACCCACGTCCACATCATCTGTCTGGAGGGGGAAAGCAATCTCTCTCTTCCCCATCTTGGGTTCCTGGCTGAGATCCCTGTGACAAAAAAAAAACAGATCCGTGAAAGAGAAGTGTGAGAATGTCTTTAATATCCGTTTTATGGGACACGGAAGATCTCATGAGGAAACAGAGACCCAGTGAAAAAAGTAGACCCGTGTGTTTTGTATTTGTATTTTTTTAAGATGGTAAGGCACACTTGATTCCTGAGAGGCCATGGTGAGAGGTTCGGGGGCTGCTGGAGTGGGGTCTTGAACGGGGGGGGCAACAGACTAGACTGGGTTCAACTGTGTTTGCGCTAGTTTAGGGGACCAAGTGGATGGTCATGAAGAAGTGTCTGGATAACGTGTGATCTCGTGTTAATAAAGTGAGGGGAACTCACAAGGCCTGGATCTTCAGCTTCTTCTCTGTGACCCTGTGTCTTCAGGAATTAGGTTGCTCTTTTCCTCTCAGATGAGGGTCTTATGACTCCTGCGGGGGAAGGTCAGAGAACCTTTCCTGCCATATTATTAAATTTTTTGGTGCTGGGATTGAACCCAGGGCCTTGCATGTGCCGAGCGCATGTTCTGTCTACCACTCGGCTCCATCCCCAGCCTCCCTCCTGGGTTTGATGACCTGCCCCAGGGGGAAAAGGGGAGGGGAAGGTTTTATTTTTCTCAGTTAGCAAGGTACCATATTTTAGGGTAGTATGCCAGAGCACCATCATTGCCAACTTCATCTTTTGAAAGTAAAGAAGTTAAAAAGTCAATGCCAGTGAAAAGCCAAATATCTTTTAAAATGTAGATTCCCTGAGTTTGAGTTTGCTTCATTTAAATTCCCAAAGCAGGTGGAGATGTAATGGATCCATGCATCACGATGACATTTTCCCAAACAGAGTAAAACCTCCTTTTCCAATTAAACTACTCTGATGTGGAGTGGTTTCTAAGTTAACATTATAAGGTAAGGAATAAGGGTTCACAAGTTTTTAAGAATACAGAGGACAGCTCACTTGAGCTTCCTCTCCCAGCGGCATCTCTCAGCAAATGTGCTGAACCTTCCGGACACGGATATTAGACTGGACCAGAGGAATAAAGCAAAGCAGGACACAGTCCAGACTGCCCAGCCGGCCTCAAAGAAAACAGAGCAAAACACAAAAGGCAACATTCCATTGAATCCCTGTGAAGAGAAGTACATGTTGTGCAAACTGCCCACAGCCCCATCTGTACTTGGAAAACGTGGACGCAGAGAAGAGAGTTAGAAAGGGATCCAATGTGTGTGCCTAACCTGGGAAGACTTCTTTTCTCTCTCTCTGTGTGTGTGTGTGTGTGTGTGTGTGTGTGTGTGTGTGTGTTGTAGTGCCTTCTGCATGCTAGACACATGCCCCACCACTGACCTTAATCTCCCCCCTTCCTCAGCCCAAATGTACAGTTTAAGGAAGGAAGCCTTTAAAACCAATTTGAAAAGGTACTTTTGGTTGCTGAGGTAGGTTTATTCTTAGTGTGGTTTCATTCACGTAAATTTTGGCTGTTTAATAAAGGCCTGGGGCAGGTGGGTTATTTGTTGGGCATCTGGGACTAACGTTATTGTTTAAGAAGGTGGGAAGAGAAGGCAGACTGGAGAAGACTTGGTTTCTCCTTTCTTTTGTTTAAAAAAGAAGAGTAGCAACAACTTGTTTCCCAGGTGTCCTAAAATTCCAGAGAACAGTTTCTCAGCCTTTAAAATGAATTTCTAAGTGAATGTTTTAATTCTCCTTCTTTCTGGGCACATACTGAATTGGCATTTTGTTGCAAATTTAAAAGTTAGGCACATCCTGTGACTTTCTTTGGTCCATGAATTGTGGGTGCAAGTTACGTGTGACTTCTGTGGCAATTCAGTT